GAATGCAAGGTACTTTAAAAATATAAATGTGTCACAAAAAAAGATCGTTATGCTGCATAACTGATCTGAAAAGTGAGCATAATTAAAGAACTGCTACCATAACTCGATTTATTATATGAGAGAGCAGAAAATCATAGCTGACGCTATATAATGAACGTTTTACTATTTTAATAAATTTTATCAGATGTTATTTAATGGTAACATAATTTAATAAATAGGATATATATAGTTATTTTTTTATTTCATTTTGAAACTGTTTGAAACTTGTTTTACTAACTGATAGTCCTTTTGCTAGGTCTGTACTTTTTAAGCACTTTATTTTGCATTTTGAAAGTAGTTTATACTTTAGGAAATATTGAGATATTTACGTTATGCATTAGCCAATTCAAACCATACTTCAAATAACAAATCAACATTTTTTTCTATAGAATGAAAAAAAGTGTATGTAACAATAAAATTGATATAATAAAAATTGTTGATGTTAGTAAAACTCTTGTATAACAAAAAATTGTGGATGTTAATAGTAGAATTCTCGTATAACGTTTACTTTGATAATAATGAAAGAATATCACAGTAATCGTAATCGATAACCTTCCTCAAAACAATAACAATTTTGTTATTGTTTTGAGTTCTAAGTAGTAAAAAACTAAGAAAATATAAACTAAAACTGCCATAAATTAGTAAACTAATCCAACTGAAATTTTATCCGAAGTTTGGTGTGGCCATATGATACATTTGCACCATTTTTTATTAAATTGTATGTTTCACTCTACAGGTGTTTTTGTTGACGCATTATATAGTCAAAAAATTTAACTAAATTTAAATATTCAAATTAAGTTATTTTCTGCGGACAAAATTAAAAGATTTCAAAATAAGCATAACATCGTGCCTTGCTGTGTACGCTCACTGCATATAAAAGGATGTTTTAGGACAGCTAGGTTGGCATTAATTTAGTTAGAGTTAAAAGTTATAACTTACTAGTTTTTTTTTTTTTTTTTTTTTTTATCTTTTTTTTTGTCTTCTTTCTTAGTTTTATTTACACTTAATACTTATAAATTATTTTAAAGATTTTTTTTATTTCAAATTCTTTTCGTACAATGACTACTCAAGAGCAAAATTCCCTAAATAAAAATTTATCTTTTTTTTATATTTAACTAAGACGTCTTTATACCTTGCTGCAACATTTATATAAATCCTGCAGTTTTTAGAAAACACCAAGTAACGAAGTTTGATAAAAGAAAACCCAGAATCTTTTAAAAAAGTATCTGGGTCTAGTTTTGTATTTATTCAGATCCGAGACTTTTAGGACCTCATATGACGTAAATACAACTATAAAGTTCTTTAAAATTAAATTTTGATATTTTTAAATTTAGTAGGTTTAAAAAAAAATTTTATTGTATTTATATATGTTTTTGTACAAATTCTTAGTTTTAATATTATTAAGTTTCCGAAATTAATAATTTTTTGCATGTATATAAAGTAAGGGTGGATCGATGCATCGGCATCAGCCTGTCGATGTATCTAACATTTATTTGATACATCGGCTTCAGTCTTGTTAACCATTGGGCGATACCAATTGTTTAGAAAAATCGTTTCATTAACTTTTGTGTTTCTGTATTGTTGACAAAAGAATAAATATTACATAAATAAAAATGTATTTATAAGCCAAATTTATTTTATAGACATGTCTGCAACCACTAAACCTTTAAATACTTTTTGAACTGTTTTTCATTAGGAGCTCCCTAATAAAAAACAGTTCTGCATTATTTATCTTTTTATAATTTAGGAAAGCAAATATGACTTATGGATCCAAACTATGGAAAGTTTAAAATCAAGAATTGTAATTGTAATGTAAAAAAAAGTCTGTGCCAGGTGTTCCTCTTATATTTTTATTTTGCAAAATTTACAAGTTGCATCAAACGTTTATTTTCATTTATATCAAAATAATGTATAAACTTTTAGTTGTAAACTTAGTTGTAGATTTAATGAGACTTTTGAATATATATACATATATATATATATATATATATATATATATATATATATATATATATATATATATATATATATATATATATATATATATATATATATATATATATATATATATATATATATATATATATATATATGTATATATATATATATATATATATATATATATATATATATATATATATATATATATATATATATATATATATATATATATATATATATATATATATATATATATATATATATATATATATATATATATATATATATATATATATATATATATATAATGGTTCAAAAAAATCAAACAATCTGCGAAGTTAATCAAGCGGTTCACAAGCTTCTGACGGCGGCATAATAACTTTGCGTCATGTAGCACTTTGTAACTTTTTTAAGCGCTTCCCTGGATAATTTATACAGCTCTGATTAAATAAAAAACAACTTTGAATTTTTAATTTAAATCTAATACTACTTTTTTGAAATTATTGAGCAAATATTGTCAACGTGTGGTTTCCATGTATTGTTGTCGTCCAGAACCACTTCTAAACATTTTGTAACAAAATCTTTTTTTTTATTTAATTTCATCAATAACAATTTTGATCAAATTTTGGGGTAAATAACGTTTTTAGGAGCGCGAATGGAAAGGAATTCATTAGGTTTTATTAATTTTAAGAGTTAATTAATAAATTGAAGTCTAAATCAAGCATCGATATTTTCAAAATATTTTGACGTTTTATTTAAAACATAAACTGCTTTTATAAAAAAGTAATTTTATATATTTTTTTCTTCTTCTTTTGTTTATGGCAAAAATTTATTGAGGTATAAAAGTACTTATATAAATACTAAAGTTAATTTTTTAGTATGTAATAACATATTTTTTACAATTTTTTTTTGTAATCGTTTGTATACATTTTAACAATATTACAATACCACTTTTTACTAATATAATATGTTACAATGTAATAAAAATTTAATAATATAATAATGTAATATAAATTTAGTAATATAATATATTACAAATAATATAACAATATTACAATACCACAGTCACTTTGATTTCAAAAAAAGTCCTTTATAAAACTCGGTGCGGTCTGCTATCCTGCATATCCCATGTGACGCCACTACTACTATTACTGCTACCACTACCACTACTGCTACTGCTACTACTACTACTACTACTACTACTACTACTACTACTACTACTACTACTACTACTACTACTACTACTACTACTACTACTACTACTACTACTACTACTACTACTACTACTACTACTACTACTACTACTACTACTACTACTACTACTACTACTACTACTACTACTACTACTACTACTACTACTACTACTACTACTACTACTACTACTACTACTACTACTACTACTACTATCGCTAAGTATCATTAAAAATAGAATTAAAAAATGGGCGTTAATAATAAAAAGTTACCTTTAAAAGAACTAGTTTTATGGCAATCTCCTTGTTTTGGTTCCATTTAATTATAAACAGCTAAAATTCTAAAAATTAATATAAAGTATTAACGAATATTATACAACTAGTTTCAAATATAAATAAAAAGTTAAAAAAAACTATATCAAATCTAAAAATTACATTATGTTAAACCACACGAAATAAAGATCCTCCATTGAAGTAAACGTAATCAACTTTAAAAAATTAAACTATCTGAAGTATTTTATATCTGAAAACAAAACTTTGTTTATTTAGATGTTTTTATTTGTTGAAAATACAATGTATGTTTGATTTTCATAAAACAATGTTGAACATTTTTACTATTAAAAGTAAAAAATTCGTCATACGAAATGTTACACATCAAATAATCAGACAAATAATCACGTGAAAATGATTTACTATATTAAGGAATTGAGTCTGTTATTGACTCTATGTAAAAGTATATGATAAAAGTATGCATGTTTTAAATAACCCAACTAGTATATATATATATATATATATATATATATATATATATATATATATACATATATATATATATATATATATATATATATATATATATATATATATATATATATATATATATATATATATATATATATATATATATATATATATATATATATATATATATATATATATATATATATATATATGTATTTATATGAGGCCTTATATATATATATATATATATATATATATATATATATATATATATATATATATATATATATATATATATATATATATATATATATATTTATAAGGCCTCATATAAATACATACATATATATATATATATATATATATATATATATATATATATATATATATATATATATATATATATATATATATATATAAGGCCTATATATATATATATATATAAGGCCTATACATATATATATATATATAAGGCCTATACATATATATATATATATATATATATATATATATATATATATATATATATATATATATATATATATATATATATATATATATATATATATATATATATATATATATATATATATATATATATATATATATATATATATATGTATATATATATATTTATATATATATAAGGCCTCAACGGAAGAATGATTTTAATAAAATGATTTTTGGGGTGATTTTAATTCGTTGAACTACATGATGGTGTTTTAAATCTTAAAAATTGATTTTCTCAAAACATCAAAAGTGTGACTCTGATCGTTTTTCCGTTGAGGTCTTCATATATATACACATATATGTTTCATTTTTTATTTAGGTATTTGCAGTATGCACTGACAACGAAAATAAAATGTCTAAAATGAGAAAACTTTTGCAGGCTGAAGCCTGCAAAAGTTGATAACATTTGGTTGCTCTGCTCATTTTTTAAATTTGGTTGAAAAGGATGTCTCTCCAAAGTCTATAGTAAAGCATATTATAGCAATTCATAAATATTTTCGTTATCATCACCAACCACATGTATGTATTAAATTCTTAACTTATTGATCATATTCTGTAATATAATACTATGAAATAACACAGCTGTGTTAATGATATAAGCCTAATGATAATGATGGCAAAAGAGATCCTAGCTTTATTTTAACAAAATTATTTTTTAATATTTCTTTGTTAAATTTTCTTAAATAAATTTATTATAGGGTTGGTTATTGGAAAAAGGTGGACTGATGCCACAGCTACCTAATGATACTTGCTGGAACTCCCAACTAGATTGTTTACAGACATACATATCTAATCATTCTCTGTACGTTGACATTAGAGGTGAGCATATGGAATCCATTGATCCTTCGATAGGAAGCCTAATTGACAATCTATCAATACAGAGAGAAGCAATAAATTTATATGCACAACTGAAAATTGTTGGTGTTGCGTTAGATAAGGTTAATAAAATTAGTTATTAATTGGATTTATTAAATTTAATTATATTAAGTATATTAAAACCACTTATATTAGGAACAATGTCACCATTAACTTTATTTACCTAATTATTAGCAAAATTATTGTGTTTACTGTAGTTGCAAGCAGACGATACAACTTTGTCTGAAGCAGTTGAGATTTGGCAAAGCCTCATACATAATGAAAAATTGGCTTTGTACAAAGATGATATTTTAAAGAGGTTCAAGAAGGCAACTGTTCCATGTCATTTTCTTGCCAATTTAACAGATCCAAAATATGAAGGTAACTAAACAATTGTAAAAAACTTAAAGTATTGCATCTGATTAATTTTTAATAAAAACAAATGTAAAGTTTTTATTTAAGTTTACTACTCTTATAACTTTACTTATTTACTTAGGAAGAACATTGGATAGAAGTCAAGAAGAAGAAGCTGAGGAATGGTTGAATGAAGTCTATCCTGAATTTATGCAAGGCTATTATGCGTTTAAACTAAAAGATGCTAATTGTTTCCCAACATATTTATTCAACGATAGTGTTAAAAGCACAACATCAGCAACAAATTGGTGGAGAATTATAGAAATGAAAGAATCTAAGTCTTTCAAATTGCCTGCAAATTTTGCAAAATTTTTACGGCAGTTGCACACTTGTCCAGCTAGTATTGGATCCATAGAAAGATTTTTCTCATCTTTTGGGATTATTTGGAGCAAAATTAGAAATCGTTTAGGAAGAGAAAAAGCTGAAATGCTTGTACGAATTTACAGACATTTAAGATCAAGATGCACAATTGCTGATGACTTTTAGATTACTTTGTTTTAAATGATTAAGCTTGAATATTATTGCTCCAAGTAAAATAAAATTCTTGTTTATGACTTACTAAACTTCATTTTTTGTTGTTAGTTGAGCAGCATTGTGTGTTATCTTGTGTGTTAATGGAAATTGATTTATGAACAAAAAAATTAAAAATTAAAAATTTAAGACCAAAAACCCATAAAGTTGGGTTTTTGGTGGGTTTTTAATCTTGGGTTTTTGGGTGGGTTTTTGGGTGGGTTTTTGGGTTTGGGTTTTTGGGTACCAACCCTGGTTGTCCCCAGTATAAGAAGTAGCTTCCTGGACTAAAGTGGCTCACTCAACCTTGAGAACATGAGTTGTGTAAAAAATAAATAAAGAAAAAATTGCTCATGTTCTTTCAAAAACATTAAATGTTATAAAATTCCATAAGGGGGCATCCATAATGACGTACGCAGTAAAACCACTGATTTAGGACCCCCTTCCCGCTTGTACAAACCTGTACGCTTTCGAAGACCCCTTTCCTTCCCGTCCGCGTACGTTTGCATTATTTTTTTTTCAAAAACATTTCGATTTCTTTTTTCTCTCTCCTCATTAGAAAGAAATTAAAAAATTTTTTTGACTGTAGTCAAAAAAACAATCCTAATTCTGATTTTTACACACGTAAAATTTAATGTTTAAAAATAAATAAAGTAAAGTTTAAGAGAAATAATCAAACCGCGTACGTAGGGGAGGATGGGTAGGAGTGAGCCAAGGGTAGGAGTGAATCGTTGATCCTACAGCTAAAACGGGAAATGAAAAAGACTCAAAATTTTCACCAAGTAGTTACATATAAATTATTGTTAACACAGTTCAATTTTTTTACCGCTCCTTGGTGCGGGTGTCTGTATTTACGTTGTCGTCGACTCTTTTCTGGGCAAAAGTATATTTTTTGTATTTTTTGAAACTTCTTTAGCGAGCATACCGGTTGTTTCGAGACATTAGATAGTCGTTGAAAATTTACAAATAAACAATTTAGTTTTTAGAACAAAGTATTTTACATGCAAAAACCACGTACTTATTGCATATTTAATGTTTTAATCCAGTTGTACAGCTAGGGGAGGAATGAGCCATTCCTTTACGGGTAGGAGTGAACCACGGCTCACTAATACTTCACGTTAAAAAAGTTTTGACTTCAGCGTAAAAACATATTTATGTTTGACTTTTATAATTTAGTATATCATTAGAAAACTTGTGTGCAACATTAGATTTATTTTTACCATATGCTCTAATGCCTCGAGTCTATAAAAGAACAACTTCGAAAGCAAAAACTTCCAATAAAGATATGAAAGATGAATAAAGATATGATAATCCAAAAAGAAAAAAAGGATTAGAGTAACTGCAATAACTTCTAAAATATTGCTATCTCGTCCAACTTTTTCTAGAACAGTAAAAGACAGCATTGCCATTACAAATTTAAGGTTGTATTTGACTATATCAGTATTTGCTAAATATTATTTTCATTCTCTATATACTATATGCTAGTATATTACTTTCATTACATATATATACTTTTACTATATTTTAATATTAAGAAATTATCATTTTTCATGACAGTTTTTTGTTTTGTTGCCAATATCAATTGTTACTGAAAACAAATTTTTTTTTTTTGTAGTTTATACATTTTGTTTATTTCATTACAAGATTTTAAAATTGTGTTAAATTTATTATTATTTATATTATTAAATTTATTGTTACATTATTACTTAATTATTTTATGCTTAATTATAAAGTTGTTCCTTACTTAATTTTTAATAAATTAGTTAAAGAAAGTATCTAATTTTAGTTTTCTGGTAATTAAAGATAATGGCTCACTGCTATCATTTGCTTGGTTCACTCCTACCCATGCATGGGTAGGAGTGAACCAGTAGCAAAACCTGCGTTATTGCTCAAGTTATCAAAAATTTGAAGATATTTTGATATTTCATGTATTACTATTAGAAACCTAATACCTTCGGCTACCTTAGGCTCCTTATCCTATACTTTTTCCACTTTTGGTTTTCTTGATAAAATCGATTTAAAAAAAAGTGGCTCACTCCTACCCATCTTCCCTTACTCATTGTCTTAAACACCCTCTTCCACCGTTACGCAGCCGTTTCACCAACCGTTGCACAGCCGTTAGAGCTTTTGCTTTAGAAGCAATAGACCTAGGGTTCGAAGCAAGCCCTACGCATATTTCGCACCATCGCACAGTGGGCCAGCAGTGAGCAAAAATTAAAAATATGAGCAAAACCAACCTTTAACAATTCAAAAATTTTTAATCTTTTTTGAAAGTGAGTAACCTGAAGAAAATTTAAATGGTTGTAATATTATGTTTTAGTAAATAGAATTATTGTTAAATTGATATTATAATGCATTGTCTTTAGAATCAAAATGTTGCTTTTTAAATATTATATATATATCCGATTCATAAAAAATTTATGATAACATAGTAAATTGAAGTTATTATCTACATATATATGTAAATGTATTGTAGTTTTGTAATTTAGGGTAATGCGGAGCAAAATGAGACAGCGGGGCAATACGAGACAGTTCGCGTTTAACATAATGCAAGCCCTACAAATTTTTATTTGCAATATTTTCAAAAGTGCAGTTGTGTTCAAAAACTATTTTGTGTCAAAAAAATATATTGAGTCACTTTGAAATAAAAAAGTTGAGTAAAAGGGGAGTCATTTCATCCCTCGGCTTCGCGAAAATTACGAATTTTTAAGAGTTGTTATTATATTTTTTCCTAGCCTTTTTTGATCTCACTGAGTGGAAAAGCTTTTTATATTTGAAGTTTTTTTTTATTAGAATCTTTAGGCCTTTTCCTTTCATTTCCATTCTTTGATATTTTATTTCTTCAATAAAATAGTCTGGAAATTAGGCTAATCGATGCCAACATGATGCGGGGCAAAACGAGACATTCTGTTTTTTTTTTGCCGATATCTAATATTATGTTTATTTATTTTTTTACATTAAAACAAAAACCGATGCAAATATTAATATTTACATGCTGTAGATTTAAATTTATTATACTGTATTTACTTACTTTTTATTTTGTTAATTGAAATGTTTAGTTGTTATCCAATATAGAATTACGTTTTATATTTTGTTAACTTATATTTAAATATAATAAATATTTAATCAAATTGAAGCAAATAATTGCCTGATGTTTATAATTACTATGTTTTTATTTTATAATCTTATTGTATTGTAATGTATTAAAGTAAGTAGTATATAAAATATATAGTGAGTAGATTATAACATAGGTTATTGCAGTACCTATAAACAAAATACAATGAATGTTATGCGTGCTTTAAATACATAAGTTTAATATATGCATGTATATTTTATAAGTTCTTGTAGTGGATATATATATATATATATATATATATATATATATATATATATATATATATATATATATATATATATATATACATATATAAGTGGAGTCAATTTTCAAAATGCACAACCTGGGCTCATTCGAACTGTTGTTTGTTTCAAAATACTGGTTAAGCAATATGTGATTTATGTGACTAGTGACAGTTTGATTATAGCTGTAATATATTATAAAATGTATTTCTTGCTAATCCACTTAAAGATATGTTTTTTTTTTAACTTTATTTATTTAATTTACTAAAAAAAATATCTGTCTCTTTTTGCCCCGGTATGCGGGGCAAAATGAGACAGGGTAGGTGCTGTCAATAAATGATCTCTGGTGACCAAACTACTGCAGTTTTGCAACTCATACTTTTTAGGCTTCAAGTGGGATCGTAGAAGAATTGAAAAATATCAATTTATTTTTTCAAAAGTTGTTAGACGGGCCGTATTAGATATATTAGCGTTTAAGTGTCTCATTTTGCGCCTCGTTACACTTTTAATACATGGTAACATATAACTAATTATTTTGCAAAGTTATTTATTTATTTACGAAAGCAGTAACAAATGGGGTGATAAGGAGCTACGTAGCCGAGTAACTAAACGTGTTATTAAAAAACATGTAAAAACATGTTCCCAATATATTTTTTAATTACTTATGGGATGATAACAAAAAAATTTTTATTAAAATTATCTGCCCCTGTGTGCCCCATAATAAGCTGCATTGTAATTTGCGAGCTTCACGTGCTATTTCAAATGTGCTTTTTAACATGGTAGTTTTAGTTGCATTTGTATAATAATTCATATAGTATGTGCAGATGCTAAATTTATTTATCACGTATTATTTTATTACACTCTGAATGAAATGTACATAAATAAAAACTGTAATTAAAGTTTATTTTGACTAGCTTTATCACTTACAAATGCGTATGATACATGCATGTACGTAAAATGCCAGAGAATCTTCTATACCATTTGTGAATGGTATAATAAGCAGCTGTATCAGAAATTTAGAAAGTTATGTAACGTCTTGTCGATAACAAATTTATACAGTAAAGCAGATTGTAAAAGTTGTGCGTATACTGTAATTAGTTTTATGACAAAGAGATTTTGAAAATTACATAATTGCTTGCGCTCCATCTTATTGTTAATGTGTGCAATACTCAATGATGTAATCGTTGTTGTAAGCTCTTGAAAAATGAATGATTAAATAATTTTTATTGTTTATTACATAAATTTGACTTTAATGTTTATACTGCGTTATACTGAGATCGCATTTTAATGATACTAGGCGGTTTATTGAGATTAAGTTTGTATACACGGCATCATTATCGCTTGCTACTATTTGTTGGTTAGTTGTAAATGAAGAATTTTATAGCTTAAAAAGTTGCATCATATAAGTTGAAGGTTAATTATAAAATTTATTTGCAATAAATTATATTGTCTAATTTCTAACTTAAGTTTATTTTAATCAAGAAACTAATAATGGAGAGTAATACAAATCCAAAAGAAGATGAATTGATTCTAAACACTCCTTGATTCTAAACAGGACTCTTAATCTTTAATTGATTTTTTTAATAAATTTTATTGCAATGAATCAGTTTTTCATGGTTATTTTTTAGTTAACGATAATTAACTGAAAAATTTAATTATTATATTATTATTATTATTATTTATTTCGTTATGTATTATATTTGTTTATGATTGCTACTTTGCTTATGATTAAAACTGATGATTTTTTATGGTTATAATATTTAACTTTAATTTTAAACATAGTTAAACCCGTTTTGTAATTAAATACAGAGGGTTACAAAAGTGTTCGTATAGTGAATCCTTTAATAAATGTAGTTATTTTTCATACATTTTTTCAAGTTATTTTGGTGAAATTATGTACAAAATTTATTTTATAGATCAAAATTAATGCAACATGAAAAGAAAAATAATATATTTTCAGAAAATCCCTTTAAAAAACCTAGATACAAGAAAAAGGTCTTGTTTAAAATGTTACTAAAGTCTTCGTACAATATAAAAATCTTTCAGAAAAACCAAAAAAGTGTCAAGAAAGGTATCAGAAAATCAAATTTCAATAACGAGTTGCTTTTCCTTTGCTTTTTATAACAGCTCTTAATCGATCTGGCATAGAATGAACCAGTTTTTTTGTGGTTTCTTGACTTAAACAGTTCCAAGCACTCTCTAACGTAACTTTCATCTGTGGTTTGTTAGTGAACTAAATTTTACGCAGTTTGATTTCCAATTCTGACCATAAATGTTCAATTGGGTTGAGATCTGGACCTTGAGCTGGTGTTTTTATTACTCCAGGACAGTTGTAGAGCATCCAGAGCAGTGTATCAAAAGCAGAATGCTTTGGATCATTGTCCTGGTAGTACTTATATACACCAGTCAGCCCCAATTTTTCAGCACTTTGGTTTAAGTTTTGTTTTAGGACATCAATATAAACACGAGCGTTCATGGTAGTCTCTATAAAATGTAATTTACCAACCCCAGACGCTGCCATACAGCCCCAAACCATCACACCGCCCCCACCATGTTTGACTGTTGCTACCATATTTCGCTCTTCTAATTCTGTATTAGGTCTTCTCCAAACATTGACACGTCCATCTGATCCAAACAAATTAAATTTGTTCTCATCAGCAAAAATTACAGTCTCCCAGAACTTTTTAGGCATCGAAACATACTTTTTAGCAAATTCTAAACGTGCTTTTCTATTCTTCTTAGAAATGAAGGGTTTTTTTCTCGCTACTCTTCTATGAAAATTTTGTTTTTTTAAGCATCGTCTCACTGTTTGCACACTTACAGATTGTCCTAGTTCTAAATCCTTAGTCAATTTAGGAGCGCTCAGCTTAGGCTGCATCTTGATTTTTCGTACCAACCAATTCTCAGTTCGTTCCGAAAGGATTTTTGGGCGGCCAGTTCTTGGTTTATTTTGAACAGAACCCTCAGTAGAAAACTTTTTTATAATAGACTGAACCGTAGATTTTGGAATACAAAGCATTTCTCTTATCTGTGACAGTGATTTCCCATTTTGATGGTGAGAAATAATAAGATTTTTCATTACTTCTGGCAACTCGTTTCTAGTAGGCTTCATTTTCAAAATTACCAATTTTTTATTGCACAAAATATCCTATTTGACAATTTTATTTACGCTAAAAACAAAAACATAGAAAATTTATAGCTAATGTAAACATAAACAACAGATAAAGGGGTTGTACGAAGACTTTTGTAACATATCAAAAAACTGATTTTTCATCGTTAATAATTTTTTGACATAATTTTTTCTAACTTAAGTATTATTTCTTATGTTATATACTAAATAAAGATAGTTAAAGCGATTTCAACAAGAATTTTTACTAATAAATACGTTTAAGTGTTTTAAATATGATGATAAGTATAAAATATTTCACTGTACGAACACTTTTGTAACCCTCTGTATGTAAAATATTGTTAGAAAAAATTGCCTCGTTGATTCTTTACAGCTTTTTAATGAGTTTGTGGTTCACAATTATGAGACTTCTTTTTCAGAACTTATACAACCTTTTTTACAACTTATCCAAATATAGTCTATTTCGGAAAAGCCATCAGTAAAACAAAACATAACGATACCTTGTTGGTAATAAATCAACATTTGACTAGTATGTTCCTCTTCTTGTATAACCTGGAAAATATCACTATGTTCTGACTGGCATTACAAATTAAGTCTGCCAGAGTCTTTTAAGTAGATTACTTTCTAATTAATGACGAGCTTTACCAAAGTAGATGTATGTCATTATCAGCGTTATTATCACGGTTATACCCCTCTGTGACTCTTAGAGAGCTAGATTTAGAAGAGCTAAATTTAGAAGAGTTTTGGTCTGCATCAGCCCAGACCGACAGCAGCTACGTGCAATAATGCAACATTAATTTTTAGACCTTTCGGATTTTCTATTGTAGGCTTGAAAGATGCCATAGTTTTTTTGTTCTTTTTACAACATTTTGCATCTTTAATTTTATATTTACTATAATGGTTATCAGACAGTTTCCGTTTTTCAGATCTAAACGACATTTATATATATAACTTATATATCAAAATATTATAAATCAAAATATTATTTGAAAAACATAAACATGTGGTTTTGTTTTGAGAAACTAATAAAATAATATTTCTTTAGTTTTATTGAAGTTATACAACTTTAAAATTTAGTTTTTATAGTTATAAAAAAAAAACAAAAAAAAAAAAACATAAAGAAAAAAATTGTGAAAAAACGACAATGAATTACGTCATTTATTTTATTAAACTTGCGAAATAATGTAAACAACTCACTTCATATGTTATCATTTAGAAATTTATTGCATTACACAAAATTTAAAACGAAAAGCGCTAATATATATATATATATATATATATATATATATATATATATATATATATATATATATATATATATATATATATATATATATATATATATATATATATATATATATATATATGTATATTAATTATAATAATAAATATTATTATTATTAGTATCATTAATATTATTATTATTATTATATATAAGTCCGAAGATAGGGTATAATATTAAAAAGCCATGTCTGGTAACGGTTTGTAGCTGTTTGATTGTTGTTTTCCTCCACGTGATATTTTAGATTTTCGTTTGCAAAACCGGTAAAACACGATTGACAAGTTTTTCCTAAACTCTTTACTCTGAAAACAGAATATTAAAGGGTTTATAAAAGAATTTGATAATCGCATTAAAACAAAAACTTGTGAGATCGGATAATTCCAACGCAATAATGGTACATTTGCAAAAGTGAGTAAAAAAAGTATTCTGTTCGGTAAAATACAAATGCAAAAAGCAACTGCTATTATTTTGATTGTTTTTATTGTTTTGACTTTACGAATATGTATAATATCAATTTTATTGACTTTCATAGCTTTTCCAAGAAAGACTCCAATTTTTTCAAGAGTTAAAGAGATTTGGTAAAAACAATAAGAAACAATAACAACAGGTATTACTGTGTCTAAAATAAAAATGACAAGTTTTCGGATTATACGAAAGTGTATTTCGTTCGAATGAAATTTACTTTCGTATCCACAAAAACTTCCGTATTCATTATTTTTTGGATCATATTTGATAAACAAATCTCCTAAAAGTTCTTTGATCAAGGCAAGGAAGAAAATTAAAGCCATTATTGCAATTTTAAACTTTGTAGATTTATGTTGAAACAATAAAGATTTTTGATACAATATTACGTTCCGTCTCTCTATTGAAATAAATACGAGTAAAAAAATTGAAGCACCTAAAAACCAATACGGCAAAAAATAACTGGTAATAAATTTACACATCAAATCACCACTAATGTTTTGAGGATGATACTTTTGAAAGCTATCTGTTGACATAATATAAGTTGGTAAGCTAAATAAAGAGACCATAAAGTCAGCAAGTGCTAATGAAAATATGGCAATATGAAACAATGATGTGCGATCAATATTTTTAGATAAAAGTATAACAATCATTACAATGCCATTTCCAATTATTCCTAAAACCGTAATCAATGAATACCAAGTTAGCTCCCAGTATTCTAATGGAAAGCTGTTCTAAAATAAAATAAAGCATGTATTTTAAATCTTAAAAACATTAAAATAATTTCTTTAGTTTTATTGTTTCATTTATATATTTTAATAAAATTAGGGGAAAAGCGCCCGTGATATTATACCGGCATAGCCCATATTATGGCATACCGGTCATATTTCCATAAAAATTGTTTTTGATGAAAAAGTGATTAGACCTACATGAATATACCGACTTTAAATTAGTTTTAGTGAAAATACGTCCCTTGTGCACAAATATTGTTTTTATAACCAACAAAAATCAATTTTGGGATGTACTGTTGTATTTTTATTCCCTTCATATATTTAAAATTGTGAATTATTATTAACTAAACAGAAAAGAAATTTTCATGCATTTTATATCCAATTTTTGTTCATTTAGTGGAATACTTACTTTAATTTTGTTTTAATGAAAATGTTTTTATGAAAATGATGACTTTTTCCCATGATGGCATACTGACGAGGAGGATGTGTTGCAATATTGACTAGTTGGGAAAACCTTTTTTTTTTAATAAGAAAATTTATTTTTAAGTAAAGTAAAAAGAAAACAATTTTCCGAAAGTTTCCAAAAAATACATAAAACTCAACATATCCTATGCGCATGCGCTAACCTTTACAATGCTGTTGTGTAGCATAAAATGGTAAACTAGGATAGTTCCGAGTAATTTCTGGCTTTTTTGAGGGAAGACTCTAAGGTCAAATGAAATCATCAAGCTACCCTTGATCCTGACTAGCCTCATCCTCCCCTATGCCATAATAGTAGCAGTGGTTGCCTATGATGGCATACTTGTGCTTTTTTTTTGAAATAGGAATAACTTATAAAAAAACTGATGAAAACTCCGAGGATTATTATTGTTCTACATGTAACTAGGAATGTATCCATATCAAAACTGTTATTATTGGTCTTCAGGATACTGAACAATGAATCTTCCAAGTTAAGTATGCAATCATAGGCGCCTTTTCCCAATAAAACTGATTATAAATGTTAAATATGACATATTAATAATAGTATAACAAAAATAACAATTATAATATTAAAAATAACAATAATAATAATATTAATAATAAAAATATTAACAATAAAAGTGATGGAGAAAACACTAATGTTAAATTTTAAATCTCAACCTCCAGTTTAAGATATATTAAAGTAATTAATTAAATAAAAGATGTTAAAATTTGTATTATATCACAAAGAAGAGAGAAAAAATATTAGACAAATAGAAACTCAGAGTTAGGGTCGTAAATAATAAGTTGTAGAAAGGTATAAGGTTTATAAACAATAATTTTGTAAAAAATAGCTAAAAACAGCAGTTTAAAACTTTGAGAATGAATTAAGAGATTTTAGTTGGTAAGAGAGGTTTTTCCTTGTTTGTATGCTTTTATGTTATATGGATTCATAGCCGTTATGTTCAGTTCGATATTTAGGTTAATATAACTTTAAATTGCAAGTAAATTATTGAATATTGTTACAAATTTCTCTATTGTTACAAGGTACTCTATTGTTACAAGATTCAATTAAAAAAAAGAAAATATAAAAGGTAGATTATTCTAAGGTACAAAATAATAAACAATTTTTGATTGCTGAATAAGGTGACACAATTTAATGAAAAATAGAGTACGCTAGTGTTTGATTTATTTGTAAATAAATTAACTTTAATGTTTAATTTTGGAGATGAGCTAGTTTAGACCTTTAGTTTTAATTAGATTTGAAAGCTGCTTAGAACTTAGTCCCCAAACTTGGTAAGTATATCTGTCCCCAAACTTGGCAAGCATATCATGCGGTAGTGGTGTAGTGGTAAGAGCGCTCGCTTTGTAAGCGAGAGGTTTCGAGTTCGACTCCCACCACATCCCTGGAAGTACCGCGCTCAACTTAATTTCTCCGCGCAGCGGTCTTGCGTTTCAAGGTTCGTGTTTCGGAACTAAAGAGGTGAGAGAGGGTTCTACTACGATTTACAACAAAAAAAAAAAAAAAAAAAAAAAAAAGAGTAGCCTCCTTGACTGTAGTGACCCCCTCGGGCCTTGGGGAGGTGAGTAATTAAAAAAAAGTATCTGAGATAAGAGTGAAAAATAGCATGATATTTATCTAGTAATGTTTCATGACTAACATAATGACGGATTTTTGGTAACATGCCCTTCGATGTGCTTAATTTCAATGCTAAGTCTTAAAGATGCAATGCAAAAGAAAATTTATAGTCTATTTTGATATCAAGATATTTAATAGAGTTAATTAGATTTATCTTCTGCCCATTTAATTTGAAGTTTAATTGCTTATTTATTTTTGTTTGAACAGATTTAAATATATTAATTTCTATTTTTTTGAATTAAGGGATAACTTATTGGAACAAAGCTAATGAACAATATTATATAGGGTAATGCGGGGCAAAATGAGAGAGCGGGGCAATACGAGACAGTTCGCGTTTAACATAATGCCAGCCCTACAAATTATTATTTGCAATATTTTCAAAAGTGCAGTTGTGTTCAAAAACTATTTTGTGTCAAAAAAAATATATTGAGTCACTTTGAAATAAAAAAGTTGAGTAAAAGGGGAGTCATTTCATTCCTCGACTTCGCGAAAATTACGAATTTTTAAGAGTTGCTATTATATTTTTTCCTAGCCTTTTTTGATCTCACTGAGTGGAAAAGCTTTTTATATTTAAAGTTTTTTTTTAATTAGAATCTTTAGGCCTTTTCTTTTCAATTCCATTTTTTGGCATTTTATTTCTTCCATAAAATAGTCTGGAAACTAGGCTATTCGATGTCAACATGATGCGGGGCAAAACGAGACATTCTGTTTGTATTTTTTTTTTCCGATATCTAATATTATGTTTATTTAGTTTTTTACATTAAAACAACAACCAAAGCAAATATTAATATTTACATGCTGTAGATTTAAATTTATTATACTGTATTTACTTACTTTTTATTTTTTTAATTGAAATGTTTAGTTGTTATCCAATATAGAATAACGTTTTATATTTTGTTAACTTATATTTAAATATAATAAATATTTAATCAAATTGAAGCAAATAATTGCCTGATGTTTATAATTACTATGTTTTTATTTTATAATCTTATTGTATTGTAATGTAATAAAGTAAGTAGTATATAAAATATATATTGAGTAGATTATAACATAGGTTATTGCAGTACCTATAAACGAAATACAATGAATGTTATGCGTGCTTTAAATACATAAGTTTAATATATGTATGTATGGTTTTATAAGTTCTTGTAGTGGATATATATATATATATATATATATATATATATATATATATATATATATATATATATATATATATATATATATATATATATATATATATATATATATATATATATATATATATATATATATATATATATATATATAAGTGGAGTCAATTTTCAAAATGCACAACCTGGGCTCATTCAGACTGTTGTTTGTTTCAAAATACTGGTTAAGCAATATGTGATTTATGTGACTAGTGACAGTTTGATTATAGCTGCAATATATTATAAAATGTATTTCTTGCTAATCCACTTAAAGATATGTTTTTTTTTGTCTCATTTTGCCCCGGTATGCGGGGCAAAATGAGACAGGATAGGTGCTGTCAATAAATGATCTCTGGTGACCAAACTACTGCAGTTTTGCAACTCATACTTTTTAGGCTTCAAGTGGGATCGTAGAAGAATTAAAAAATATCAATTTATTTTTTCAAAAGTTGTTAGCCGGGCTGTATTAGATATATTAGCGCTTAAGTGTCTCATTTTGCCACACGTTACACTAATATAGGCTGTAGAATATTAGCTAGATTGTGATATATACTTTTGTTAGGTTTTTTTAAGTGATTGGTTAACTAGGAGCTGTTTATAACCATATGGTTATTAACAATTTAGTTAATTGGTCGATGTCATCCGCAAAGTAAAAAACAGTAGAAAACTAAAGTGAAACATTTAATTCATTAACAAAAATAAGAAAAAGTAAAGATCCTAAAATTGAGCCTTGTGGAACACCGTTAAAAGATTTTTCTAGTTCTGAGTTGATACCATTACCTGAAACAAATTTGGTTCTATTACAAAGATAAAAGGAGAGACAGAGAAAAGGAATACCTCTAACACCGTAGTGTTGAAGTTTTTCTAGGGGGATTGTGTGCTCAACTGTATCCAATATATATAGATATTTTTTTTATATCAATTAACACTCCATACGCAAAATGTTTATTATCGATGGCTTGTCTTGTTTAGAATATTTTTTTTAAATAAGTTTTTTTTTAAACAAGTTTTATTCGCTTTTTTTATTAACATCATATTATCTTAACCGTCCCACAGTGGGCTAATTTTCAAAAAAGCTGGCCAAAAGTCAAAAAAAAAAAATCACTATTTTGAATTTATTATTTTGAAACTACATAAACAAAGCCCTGTTGTATTTTATTGTATAAGAAAAAATTGTATAAATTTTAAAGTTACCTATATCTACGCAGTTAAACATCTGTTATTAAAAACACTTAATTGGCGTTTTAAAAACAAAAAAAAAATGTGGTTAAATAAGTATCGTTTACAAAAAAGTTATTTATCGTTACTAAAAAACTAACTATGGACGATACTATTCAAGGTATTTATATAATATTTTAGTAAAAAGTTTTATATTATTTCTCTAAATTTTATGCGAAAAGTGCGAACAAAAAAGTACAGAATAAAGTTTATTTATTTTCTTTAACCTATTTTTCAAGTATTGAAAAAGTAGTGAACCCGCGAAATTTCCGCTTAGTTATAATTTGGATATTGTTCATAAAAGTGTATTCTAAAGATTAGTTAAAAGAAAAGGCACCTATTTTTGCCTATTACTTCATTAACTTATATTGTGTAGTGCTAGTCGTGTTTTTTAGTAAACAAAATGGCGGTGTTTTGTTTTCTTTGCAAAATCAGTCAAATTGTATATAGATTTAGTTATTATGTTTCTTGAGAAACTGATTTTGTTAAGTGCAATAAAACTACAATAAAATTAG